TTGCTTATAGTTTAAGAAAAACAGACCAAAACACAAAAGCTTAACACTGAGCAATGAACCGTGAAAATGAGGTCAAGGTCATATAAAACCTGCGTGACTGACATATAGATCATAAAATATTTCCATACACCAAATATAGTTGACCTATGGCATATAGTATTAGAAAAAAAGACCATAACTCAAAAACTTAACTTTGACCACTGAACCATGAAAACGAGGTCAAGGTCAGATGACACCTGCCAGTTGGACATGTACACCTTACAGTCCTTCCATACACCGAATATACTAGACCTATTGCTTATAGTATCTGAGATATGGACTTGACCACCAAAACTTAACCTTGTTCACTGATCCATGAAATGAGGTCGAGGTCAAGTGAAAACTGTCTGACGGGCATGAGGACCTTGCAAGGTAAGCACATACAAAATATAGTTATCCTACTACTTATAATAAGAGAGAATTTAACATTACAAAAAATGTTAACTTTTTTTTCAAGTAGTCACTGAACCATGAAAATGAGGTCAAGGACATTGGACATGTAACTGACGGAAACTTCGTAACATGAGGCATCCATATACAAAGTATGAAGCATCCAGGTCTTCCACCTTCTAAAATATAAAGCTTTTAAGAAGATAGCTAACGACGCCGCAGCCGCCGCCGTAGCCGCCGGATCACTATCCCTATGTCGAGCTTTCTGCGACAAAAGTCGCAGGCTCGACAATAACCTTGTTTTTCCCTCCTTTTTTTTGCCCCTAATTCCTGAACGGTTTGGGCCATAATCCCCAAAGTCAATTCCAACCTCTCCTTTGAGGTATGATACCTTGTGGTACAATTTAATAGAGATCCATACGCTTATACACAAGTTATTGTCCGGAAACTAGAAAAATGCCTTTTTTGGCCCCTTTTTGCCCCTAATTCCTAAACAGTTGGGACCATAACCTCCAAAATCAATCCCAACCTTCCTTTTGTGCTATTGAACCTTGTGTTAAATTTCATAGAGAATAAAATGCTCCGCAGGGCGCAGCTTGATACGACCGCAGAGGTCGAACCCTGAACAGTTGGGGGAAGTATGGACACAACATTCAAGCTTGATACAGCTTTGGATTTGGATTGTGATTAAATATTTGACACAGCATAGGTTTCTAACACAGATTGAATGTGGTCTAAGAACTTAAAAATTTTAAATTGGACATTCACCTATTATGGTCCAATATCCAAAATCTAAATACATGGTTAGATTCAGCATATCAAAGAACCCCATATATTCAATTTTTGTTGAAATCAAACAAAGTTTAATTTTGGACCCCGATTTGGACCAACTTGAAAACTGGGCCCATAATCAAAAATCTAAATACATGTTTAGATTCAGCATATCAAAGAACCCTAAGAATTCAATTTTTGTTAAAATCAAACTAAGTTTAATTTTGGACCCTTTGGACCTTAATGTAGACCAATTTGAAAACGGAACCAAAAATTAAGAATCTAAATACACGGTTAGATTCGGCATATCAAAGAACCCCAATAATTCAATTTTTGATGAAATCAAACAAAGTTTAATTTTGGACTCTTTTGACCTCAATGTGGACAAAGTTGATAACGGGGCCCAAAAATCAAAAATCTAAATACATGGTTAGATTCAGCATATCAAAGAACCCCATGTATTCAATTTTTGTTGAAATCAAACAAAGTTTAATTTTGGACCCTTTTGACCTCAATGTGGACAAAGTTGATAACGGGGCCCAAAAATCAAAAATCTAAATACATGGTTAGATTCAGCATATCAAAGAACCCCATATATTCAATTTTTGTTGAAATCAAACAAAGTTTAATTTTGGACCCCGATTTGGACCAACTTGAAAACTGGGCCCATAATCAAAAATCTAAATACATGTTTAGATTCAGCATATCAAAGAACCCTAAGAATTCAATTTTTGTTAAAATCAAACTAAGTTTAATTTTGGACCCTTTGGACCTTAATGCAGACCAATTTGAAAACGGAACCAAAAATTAAGAATCTAAATACACGGTTAGATTCGGCATATCAAAGAACCCCAATAATTCAATTTTTGATGAAATCAAACAAAGTTTAACTTTGGACCCTTTGGACCTCAATGTGGACCAATTTAAAAACGGGGCCCAAAATCCAAAAACTAAATACACGGTTAGATTCAGCATATTAAAGAACCCCATGAAATCAAGAATAAAACCCCATTGAAATTGGTCAAGAAATAAGCAATTTATACGAAGTATCTTCTTTTGCACAATCCTGTGCAATTAAATATTTCTTGCTATTGCGCAATACTGTACAATTGACAATTTCTTGCTATTGCGCAATATTGTGCTATTGGATATTTCTTGCTATTGCGCAATACTGTGCAATTGAAGATTTCTTGCTATTGCGCAATACTGTGCAATTGAAGATTTCTTGCTATTGTGCAATACTGTGCAATTGAAAATTTCTTGCTATTGTACAATACTTATTATATAATAATTTACACATCCTGTTTGGTGTGTATCTCCTACCATATCATTATTATTTGATTTTAAATATAAATCAGAAATAACCAACTTAAAATGGAAAATTTTAAAAGAAACAAAAAAGGAAAAAAAGAAAAAAAGGAAAAAAAAATAAATCCCCCCCCAAAATTTTTTGAACCCCCATTATGATTCATCACCCCCAAACTCAATCCCAGCCTTCCCTTTGTGGTATGGTACCTTGCAGTACAATTTCAGAGAGATCCATACACTTGAACACAAGTTATTGTCTGGAAACTAGAAAAAAATGTGTTTTTTGGCCCCAAATTCCTAAACATTTAGGGCAATTACCCCCAAACTCAAACCCAGCTTTCCCTTTGTGATATGAAACCTTGTAGTACAATTTCAGAAAGATCCATACACTTACACACAAGTTATTGTCATGAAACTAGAAAAATGCTTGTTTTTTGCCCCTTTTTTGGCCCCTAATTCCTAAAATTTGGAGGCAATTACCCCCAAAATCAATCCCAGCATTCCTTTAGTGATATGGAACCTTGTGGTACAATGTCAGAGAGATCCATACACTAACACACAAGTTATGTCTGGAAGTTACAAAAATGCTTATTTTTGGCCCCTAATTCCTTTACTGTTATAACCATAACCCCCAAAATCAATCCCAACCTTCCTTTTGTGGTATTGAACCTTGTGGTAAAATTTCATAAAGATCCATTCGCTTAAACTAAAGTTAAAGTGCGAAAACCAAGTGTCTTCGGACGACGCCGGACGACGACGACGACGACGCAGGATGACGACGCCAACGTCATACCATTATACAACCACAAAAATTTTTTTGCGGTCGTATAAAAAGTTATTGTTAGGAAACCAAATGTCGAACGACGACGACATGACAGCAATATACGAACGCAAATTTTTTTCGTATAAAAATCAATGGATTCATTAACCTGTTTTATTCAAGTTTTGTGGAAAACCAAAATGTGTGCTATTTGTAACGTCATGAAAGAAGGCTAATGTGTAAATTTTCAACCAAAAGATAAATTTCCTAACTAGTCATTATTTTTAATTATGATTCATTGTAATATTGGTCAATAAATACTAATTTGAAATTTTAGTTAGAAATAGGGATCATTTTAGGGCCTTATTGAACATACTCCTTTATGGCAGGTGGATCTTGATTTTTTTAAGATCTTGACTCTGTCACATTTTCTTTATCTATTAAGGTTTTCAAGGCATATGACATTTCTTAATTTGACCTTTATCTTCCATATTCAAAGAATAAAGTTCAATAACTTCTCAATGTCATATCAGAAATTCATGAAAAACTAAAGGGAGGTTATCTTAATAGATATAAACCAGTCACCAAAGTTTCATGATAACTGCTCAAAGCATTGACCGAAAACTGAAAAATATCCCCTTTTTTATGAATATAATCACATAACTCCGAAACATAAAATCTAAAATTTATAAAAATCGAAAGGGAGCTTACGTCAATAGATATAAACAATTCACCAAAGTTTCATGAAAACTGCTGAAAGCATTTTTGAGTTATTGTCCGAAAACTGGAAAACACCCCCTTTTTTTAATGAATAAAACCCCATAACTCAGAGAAGTAAAATCTAAAATTTATAAAAATCGAAAGGAGCTCATGGCAATAGATATAAACAATTCTCCAAAGTTTCTTGCAAATTGGTGAAAGTGTATTTGAGTTATTGTCCGAAAACTGAAAAATCCCCCATTTTTAATGAAAAAAATGGGGAATGTGTCCATGAGACACAGATGATGCCCCCGCTTACATATAACATTATGAAGGGATATTACTCAAGAACTGTAAAAGTGATGCTACCCAAATTGTACTTGATCTGAATTTTGTGGTAATAAGCATGGTTTATAAGTTTCATAACAATTAGTTGGGGCAAACTTAAGTTAGAGAACAGAAAGGAAAAATTCAGCATAACTCTAGAACGGTAAAAGTGACACTACCAAAATTCAAACTTGATCTGTGTTTTGTGGTAATTAGCATTGTACATAAGTTTCATCACATTTGGTTGAGGCAAACCAAAGTTAGAGAACGGAAACAAATTTTGGGACATACCTACGGACGGACAGAGGTACAGAAGGACAAGGGTAAAACTTAATGCCCCCTCCACTACGACGAGGGCGTCAAAACCTAAAACTCGGAAACTTAAAATCTTAAATTTATAAAAAATGAAAGGGAGCTCACGTCAATAGATAAAAACAATTCACCAAAGTTTCATGCGAATTGGTTCAAGCGTTTTTGAGTTATTGTCGGACATGTAAACGACAGACAGACGGAGAGACGGATAGACAACGGTATACCATAATATGTCCCGTATAAAAACCAATCCCAACCTTCCTTTTGTGGTATGGAACCTTGTGGTACAATTTCATAGAGATCCATACACTTATACTCAAATTATTGTCTGGAAACCAAATGTTTTGGACGACGACGACAACTTCATACCAAATTATATGACCTCAAAAAATACCTCTGCAACTTTCAGGAATTCTCCAACTTTATCCATTCGCACTAGGAATCTTTTATAACATTCTAATCCATCTTTACATTGTTTTTTGTTCATATCAAAGTACTTCTCTGGAAAAAAAAAGATAGCACACATTTATATTAAATATATCAAAACATAGTTGGTTCTGTGAATTCAGGCCAATTTTACATTTACAATGTAAACTACTACATAAAACAAGAGGCTGTCAGAGTGACAGCAAACAGAATTTTCCTGCAGAGGTCGAACCCTGAACAGTTGAGCAAGTATGGACACAACATTTAAGCTTAAAACAGCTCTGAATTTGGATTGTGATTGAATATTTGACAGAGAATTGGTTTGTGACACAAAATGAATGTGGTCAAAGAACTGAACAATTTGAAATTGGACATTTACCTATAATGATCCAATATCCAAAATCTAAGTACATTGTTAGAATCAGCATATCAAAGAACCCATAGAATTCAATCTTTGATGAAATCAAACATAAGTTTAATTTAGGAACTTTTGGACCTCAATGTGGTATTATCTAATTAATAATGAAAATAAATACAGGTTTAGATTCAGCATTTCAAAGAACCCTATATATATTCAATTTATGTTGAAATCAAACACACAGTATAATTTGGACCCTGATTTGGACCAACTTGAAAACTGGGCCCAAAATCAGAAATCTAATTATATGTTTATTAATAGACAATATAAGCTTAGTTTTAAAGGAGTTTGCTTCATCAAAAATATATATATATATAGCATTCAGAAAAAAAAATTTTAATTTTTGCGGTCGTATAATTAGTTTATACAGAAAAACAAACAAACCTCCCACAAAATTCTTCAAACAATTTACCAAAGAAAAGAAAAATCAAAATGTCTAATAATGAACAGTGAATTTCAAACTATATTTATACCGTCCTACAGAGCTTATCATCAAACACACTTAAGAAACACAAAATTTTCAGATAAATGTGTCACTCAAATTGTAATTGTGATTGATAATTACCATGCACATGTTTGTTATCTTAAAAACACTTAGTGTAATCAAACTTTATATCTTTCATTTGTCACAAACTAATATCTGCAACTTATCTATCAATGTCAACAACTTTATCTACACAATGAAATGTAATGAAATATATCCTTTAATAAATGGAGATGTGTCCCCATGGACACAGATGATGCCCCCGCTTGCATACAACATTATAAAGGGACATAACTCAAGAACGATTAAAGTGACGCTACCCAAATTTGTACTTGATCTGAGTTTTGTGGTAATTGGTCTCATAATGTTTGGTTGGGACAAATTTAAGTTACAGAACAGAAACTAAAAATTTTGCAATTTTTAAATTTATAAAGGGGCATAACTTGATAATGATTAAAGTGACGAAACCAAAATTCAACTTGATATGTATTTTGTGGTAAAAAGCATTGTGTATAAGTTTCATAACATTTGGTTGAGGCAACTTAAGTTAGAGAACGGAAACTAAAAGTTTTGTAATTTTTCCATTTATAAAGGGGCATAACTTTAGAACGGTTAGAGTGACACTACCAAAATGCAAACTTGATCTGTATTTTGTGATAATAAGCATTGTGTATAAGTTTCATAACATTTGGACAAGGCAAACTTAAGTTAGAGAACGGAAACCAATTTTGGGACGTACAGACGTACAGATGGACAAGGGTAAAACTTAACGCCCCCTCCCCTACGGCGGGGGCATAATAAAAACTAGAGGCTCTCAAGAGCCTGTGTCGCTCACCTGATTCTACTTTGGTTTTGGAAATCATGTAAAAAAATAGATTAAAATCATAACAGATACCCTAATAATGAGTGAGGCCAAATTTGGTTTAATATTGGTCCTGTAATTTAATAACTAGAGGCTCTCAAGAGCCTGTGTCGCTCACCTGACTCTACTTTGGTTTTAGAAATCATGTAAAGATGCAAAAAATCATAACAGACACCCAAATAATGATTGAGGCCAAATTTGGTTTACTATTGGTCCCCTTATTTAATCAAATATCCTGGTGGCCATCTTGAACAGTCAATCGGCAACAAAGTAGTAACACTTGGTCAAAACCTCATAAGGAACATTCATGCCAAGTTTGGTTTCATTCCATTCAGTGGTACTCTAAAAGAAGACATTTGTATGTATTTCCCATAGGGTCCTATGTTAAACTAAGTCCCCCCTTGGTGGCCATCTTGGATGATGGACTGACTGCAAAGTAACAACACTTGGTCAGCACCTCATAATGAACATTCATGCCATGTTTGGTTTTATTCAATTCAGTGGTTCTCTAAAAGAAGACATTTAAAATTGAGAATTGAAATGGGGAATGTGTCAAAGAGACAACAACCCGACCATAGAACAGACAACAGCAGAAGGTCACCAACAGGTCTTCAATGCAGCGAGAAATTCCAGCACCCGGAGGCGTCCTTCAGCTGGCCCCTTAACAAATATATATACTAGTTCAGTGATAATGAACGCCATACTAAACTCCAAATTGTACACAAGAAACTAAAATTAAAAATAATACAAGACTAACAAAGGCTAGCTATAGAGGCTCCTGACTTGGGACAGGCGCAAAAATGCGGCGGGGTTAAACATGTTTATGAGATCTCAACCCTCCCCCTATACCTCTAGCCAATGTAGAAAAGTAAACGCATAACAATACGCACATTAAAATTCAGTTCAAGAGAAGTCCGAGTCTGATGTCAGAAGATGTAACCAAAGAAAATAAACAAAATGACAATAATACATAAATAACAACAGACTACTAGCAGTTAACTGACATGCCAGCTCCAGACTTCAATTAAACTGATTGAAAGATTATGTCTTCATCATATGAATATCAGGCACAATCCTTCCCGTTAGGGGTTTAGTATCATACTATCATAACATATATGAGAAGAACATAACCCGTGTCATGCCAACAACTGGTTTTTAAATAAATGTGTTTAGTGCCGATGCAAAGACCCTATAAGTGAATCAATATTAACGTCAAAATATGCAATCTTTAATGACCTGACAACAGTATCGTAACTATATCCCTTCTTAATAAGTCTATTTAAAGGTTTTGTTAGCTTCAGAGGTGAATACTGACATTTTTGTGCTTTATAAAGAATATTTCCATAAAAATTGGATGTGAAATACCTGAACGTATAAGAAGTCTGCATGTTGAGCTAAATTTACGAATGATGTCCTTATATGTATGTATTTCCCATAAGGTCCTATGTTAAACTAAGTCCCCCTCTAGCGGCCATCTTGGATGATGGATCGGCTGCAAAGAAACAACACTTGGTCAACACCTCATAAGGAACATTCATGCCATGTTTGGTTCCATTCCATTCAGTGGTTCTCTAAGAGAAGACATTTGTATGTATTTCCCATAAGGTCCTATGTTAAACTAAGTCCCCCGCTGGCGGCCATCTTGGATGATGGACAAACTGCAAAGTAACAACATTTGGTCACCACCTCATAAGGAACATTCATGCCATGTTTGGTTTCATTCCATTCAGTGGTTCTCTAAAAGAAGACATTTGTATGTATTTCCCATAAGGTCCTATGTTAAACTAAGTCACCCACTGGCGGCCATCTTGGATGATGGATCGGCTGCAAAGTAACAACACTTGGTCAGCACCTCATAAGGAACATTCATGCCATGTTTGGTTTCATTCACTGGTTCTCTAAAAGAAGACATTTGTATGTATTTCCCATAGGGTCCTATGTTAAACTAAGTTCCCCACTGTCAGCCATCTTGGATGATGGACCGACTGCAAAGTAACAACACTTGGTCAGCACCTCATAAGGAACATTCATGCCATGTTTGGTTTCATTCCATTCAGTGGTTCTCTAAAAGAAGACATTTGTATGTATTTCCCAAAGGATTCTATGTTAAACTAAGTTCCCCGCTGGCGGCCATCTTGGATGATGGAACGACTGCAAAGTAACAACACTTGGTCAGCACCTCACAAGGAACATTCATGCCATGTTTTGTTTCATTCCATTCAGTGGTTCTCTAAAAGAAGACATTTGTATGTATTTCCCATAGGACTTCTCATAGACTAAATCATTACTTTAGGGATAAATTCAGTAAATAAATATACGTCATCAGGGACCGCCCATTTGGGGGAGAGCTTTCTGTACAATACTGAAGTCCTGTGCAAATCTGATTGGTAGATAACGTTTGTAATAAATATTTTTTGATAGATGGATCAAAACTAGAGTTAAAAAAAAAATTAAAAAATGAATGCTGAATATACTAAATTTTTTTACTACAGGGTTGAAAAGTAATGGGGGTCAGTAAAGGAATTAAGTGCGAATCTACAGTGTTTGTAAACAAGGCCATGTGAATGCCCAAAAATGCGGCATGACCCTATGTTTTTATTGTTGCAAAAGATAAGTCTACATTTGTACTTTCATGAATGATATATGAAAGCTTCCAATTTCTAAAGGTAAATCAGGTATAAATTTAATTCAAGACATGGATTAGCATTAAAGTCAATGGGAGATTTTTTACTGAATTTACCCCTATAGGAAAATATGCACTCTGTCACTGTACTTGTTCAAGGCCACACAATAATCACAAAACTTATTTCCTGTAAATTTCCTGTAAATATTAATGCAATGGAAGCCTTTTGGAACCAGTTAAAGATGTTTTTTATACAAATTTCTATGTTTAGCTGCGGCAATCCAGAATGCACTGAGTGTACTGTGGTAGGAAGCATGGGCATATGGTAAAAAATCAGTTTTGAGTCCAGATTGAAAAAAACAATAGAAATTACACTTGAGAGTTATGATATTAATGAAAAGCATAAATATTCTCCCCATTTTACATCACATTTTGCACATATTTCTCCTAATAATATTGAAAATCAGAATTACCTCCCTTTGACATAGTGTATTTTTTTTTATCTGTGTTCCCCATGTTAAGTTGTAGATCAAGTTGTAAATAAGCACTTTTCAAGTATTTTAACACTCCAATAATCTGACTGTATGAAGATTTTCATTTATTTTTACATAATTCATTGCGTTTCTTTAAGTAACAAAAATATACTAGACAACTTTTCATGATTACATACCCTTCATCTATAAAACTA